TTACAATTACATATATCAACAAAACACAGAGCTGCCACATTCACATTAAGCAGAAACAATTGGTTCTTCTTCTTGAAATATGAAACAAAACCTTCATGTGAGTAAGAATAGTCCTTGAATGACCATAAATGTCCTATTCTTTGTTGCATACGAGTAGGCTCCAGTAGACACAATAGGTGTCCTATTCCCTTCGTTACACACGAGTTGACTCCAACCTGCAACCAGTTTCGACTCACAAGAGCCTTCGTTAGGGTCTACAAACAACACATAGCATGAATACACACATACAGTTAAACAATTTGTTACATCAAGTTTGTGAGTACACTCTACTTACTCTACTTACTCAAGTACACTCTACTTACTCATTTATCAAAAAAGGCTCATCTATCAAAAAAAGGCTCAACTTTTGAGGTAGGTGTTTCACCAACAATGTTCTTGAGAGGTGGATCCTAAGGGACATGCATAGTGGCTAAAGGTAGTATTGCATTGTGGCATGAATTATAAGCCATACATAAAGAAATATCATATCTCTGAAATAAAAATAATATAATACAGCTAGTCTTTGTTGGTCAGTATACTCTGCAAAGTGTTTTATTCTGTAGATCAAAACAACTCAACCCATTACTAATATAGCATGTCCATTGGTCAGGACAGGAAAAAAGTCAGGGCCAACTAACACCTCCCAACAAAGGATTCCCTCAGGCAGGAAGCAGCCAGGCTTTGAAGCTGCAAGGTTATTAAATGATAATCAAGCTTGCCAATTGCAACATTCACACTTACCTCAAACAGACAAGAGTTCTTTCTCCCACCCTGGACATTCCACAGATATATAAACCTCACTGCCTAGTTTCCAACACACTTCACAACCTCTGCAGATGTCTGCAATAGATGTGAGCAAAACATCAGGAGAGAGGCAAAACGTCAGGAGAGAATGTCTCTAGAACATGGCCATATAGCCCGAAAAAAACCTACAGCAACCCTATGGCCATACAGCCCAGAAAACTCACAACAACCCACAGATTCAAATAACTGTATTCCAGGGTGCTTTTCCATAATGTGGCTATCCAAAATGTTGTTTCAACTATGTAATTCTGAACCAAGTTTTACTGCTGAATTTTCTGCTTAGATTTATGAGGCCAAAATTGTATTTCTTGTTACTTGTAGCAATTCATGCTGCTACTTTATCTGTGTATTATCCTCATATGTGCATACGTTGTTTGGTCTTAATAAGCAATGTATGAATACATAAAATACATAAATCTAAATGCTGGACTTCCAAATCTTTATAACAGCATTAGTTTATCAGCAGTTAATGTCTTTTGTGGCTGTAGTTTAATCCAAGCATCTCTGTACTAATTTGCGGTATGTGCAGTCATATTTCACCTTGCTGTCTGGATCCTTGTTTTTCCAAGACGAATTCTGATGGAGAAATTAGACTTTGCCGCAAGTACATACTATTTACAGGAGTTGAACAATATTGGGCAATACTCAGTTATGCTTCTTGGATTTCAGACGGATGTTGCAAAGTTCCAAAAGTACAAGCTGATCTGTTTAGGTTAAAGAGGAAAGAATCACAATGGCCCCAGACAGCACCATAAAGGAATCTGCCTTAAATCTCTAGGAAGCCTGCTATTTCTCAAGGCTCCTTTGATAGTGAGTGACAGCTGTAAAGATAAGGCCACCAGAGCACATTTTCAAGGTCCTTGGAGGAGAAAAGTGTAGCCTTAATCATTGTGCCACATATATGTTGACACTCATAAACTCTTCCCTTTGGGAAAGATTAACCACTGTTTTTCACATTGCTATCGACAGGTTGATTTGCTTTTCCTCCATATATTTTATGTTGGCTTTCCTTAAACTACACACCATACAAACACTACACAAACTCTTCTCTGAAGAAGTAGTTTTGATGGTGTTGCTAAGACATTGCCATGTTATTCTGAAATATTAGAATGCAAAGGGATTTTGAATGGCTTTGAAGCTTCAAAGCCTGACTGCTTCCTGCCTGGGGGAATCCTTTTTTGGAGGTGCTAGCTGGACATCGCTGTTTCTTGTCTGGAATTGCTGTTCTTTTAGTGTCGCTCTTTATCTACTATTCTGATTTTAGAGTTTTTTAAATACTGATAACCAGATCTTGTTCATTTTCATGGTTTCCTCCTTTCTATTGAAATTGTCCACACTACAATTTCTCTCAATCTCAAGGATACTACAATGGCTTTTTGCATACTGAGATCACTATAAGGACAGCCTGCTAGTCTTTTGTGGTTTGCCTTTTTATTCATTTGGTACAAATGTCTGGAGAGCCAAAGTAGTGTAAAAGTTTGAATATTGGAGGAAGACTGGAGTTAGAATCCCCATTCAACGATCAACAGCCACTAGATTACCTTGGACAAGTCATATTCTCATGGATTCAAGGGAGGGAAATGACAGATCCCCCTCCAATAATTCCTACCAAGAAAACCAAAAATAAAGTCACCTTAAGTTGGAGCTGATCTGAACGACACAATAATAAATTCCAAGAAACCCCTACAGATTTTTTTATTTCTTAATTTATTGAATGAATACCACTAATTAAAATCTGATATCAAAACAAAGGAGGGAAAAGCAACTTGGAAGTCAGACTTGGCCATGATACTCCATGCTCTTGTTACATCTGGTATAGACTACTGCAATGCACTCGATGTGGTGTTGCCTTTGAAGACAGTCTGAAAGCTTCAATTAGTCCAACAGGTGGTACCCAGATTTCTAACTCGTACAGTATACGAAGAGCATACTACTCCTCTGTTATATCAGCTCCACTGGCTGCCAATCTGCCACCGAGCCTATAAAGCCCTAAACAATTCTGGTCCAACTTACCTGTCCGAACACATCTCCCTCTATGAACCTACAAGAGCTTTAAGATTGCCTGGGGAGGTCCTGCTTTCCACCCCAGCCTCTTTGCAAGCCCAATTGGCTGGGATGAGAGACAGGTCCTTCTCAGTGGTGGCCCCTCAGCTGTGGAGCTCCCTCCTCAGTGACATCAGGCAGGGCCCATCCCTCCTGTTTTTTTTTTTAACTTAAGACCTGGCTTTTTACGTAGGTGTTTGGTGAATAGGAAACTACGGAATGAGACTTAACAGCTTGAATAATGGACTGGATTTCAGACAATGGCTCAGCATTTTATATGGTTTTAATCTGTTTGATTGATTGATAGGTATTTTAATTGCTATATGTTTATATTGTTTTATATTATGATTTTTTTTGTCATGTCAGGAGCAAGTTGCTTCTGGTGTGAGAGAATTGGCTGTCTGCAAGGACGTTGCCCAGGGGACGCCCGGATGATTTGATGTTTTTATCATCCTTCTGGGAAGCTTCTTTCATGTCTCTCATGTCTCCGCATGAGGAGCTGGAGCTGATAGAGGGAGCTCATCCGCCTCTCCCCGGATTCGAATCTGCGACCTGTCGGTCTTCAGTCCTGCTAGAACAGGGGTTTAACCCACTGCGCCACCGGGGGCTGCCATATATTATGATGGGATGTGTTTTATTGTTTACCTGTGTGACATTGGATTTTTGCTGTATTTGTAAGCCACCTTGAGTCTCCTCCGGGGTCGAGAAAGGTGGGGTAGAAATGAAGCAAATAAATAAATAAATAAACACACACACACACACCTGCCCCAATTTTTTGGCTGTGCCATGTATATTTCAACACACACACCCCCAAACATCTGGAGGGCCACTGTTGTCCATCTGAATTGGAAACATATTTTAAATTTTTTAAAATTTTCGTCATTTCCTTGATATAGCCCATCTTGCTCCCAGTGTGGAACACAGTGAAGAATCACAAAGGGGGAAATACTCATCACTATAGAGTATTCATTTGGCCATAATCTTTGTCAGCAACTTGGGGGGGGGGGAGCCAGCTTTGTCCCCCTTAGAAGAACTTTTTTTGCCTCAGTAGCGACTTGAGAAACTGCAAGTCTCTTCTGGTGTGAAAGAATTGTCTGACTGCAAGGCCATTGCCCAAGGCTCGCCCAGATGTTTGATGTTTACCATCCTTGTGGGAGGCTTCTCTCATGCTGATCACTGCCGAGACCTGGGGTTCTAGGCTCAGTGATGAATCCAGGATCACACCCAGAGGCGGCCCTAGGTAATTTTCAATGGTAAGCAAAACGTATTTTGGTGCCCCCCCTCCCCCACAACCAATCATTGATATATATTTTCTGTTCGTCGTGGGAGTTCTGTGTGCCATATTTGGTTCAATTCCATCATTGGTGGAGTTCAGAATGCTTTGATTGTAGGTGAACTATACATCCCAGTAATTACAACTCGCATATGTCAAGGTCTATTTTCCCCCAAGAGCACCTCAAGAGCACCCCTGGGCAAAATCCACTATACTGCAAATGCTTACTTTGCATAATGGGTTGAGCTGCCCCATAGCACCACCAGGAACTCCCCTTGAAAGAACAAACTCCCAGGAACTATGAGCTTCCACCAAGAAAGCCAATAGTGTTTCAGATGTGTGCTTGCAATAGCTATCTATTACATCCCCTGTGAGGGTAGGGGGCAAGCATCAGAAGGGTAGCATCAGCCTAAATATATCTGGTTGAGGGTTAATCCCCCTTTCTCTCCTTCTCCAAAGACCATAGTCTTCAAAGTCCACCTTAAAAACAGAGGGGGGCTAAGACACAATTGTCTATAGTACATCTTGATAGGAAGAAAGGGGGGAAAGAACATTTCCTAGCTCACTTATCAGTAGAGAAGGATTCTTTACTAATCGTTAATCTTTGTGAAGTGTAATTTCCTCTCTTCTTCATCAGCAAAGAAACCCAGTTCTCTCCCTCATCAGCCCACACAGACAGCTAGATAGAGGAGAGACTGTCCATCTACTCCCCTATATCAAGGAAAGAGGAGAGGTGGGTGTGAGGCAACCCATGAGGAGTGGTCTTCCCTTTGCCCAGCAAGAGGGATGGAAGGGGGGCCCACTGACATGTGAGAGACGACGGAAGGGCTGCTCTCTCTTACACCCATCCAAAGAGGGTGGTTTGGGTGGGAGAGGCCAGGACAGGGAGGGCAGTCACGCTTTTGCTCAGAATCCCTGGAATGTTTATACCAAGAGGTGGGAGATTGAGAGGCCCTATCTCTTCGACAAACTCCTTTGCAGCAGGTAAGCACAAAGCAATGCTAAGGGGGAGGATAAAAAGGAAATGGACCATTAACTTTAACTTCTTGTGTCTACTATAGGTGACTAAAATGAAAGAGCAGTGCATACGAAGAGAAAGAATTTTGCAGTGGATATTGCTTAAGGGAGGGTTTGTGTGTGTGTGTGTGTATGTCAGGGTGCTTCACACCCATCTCTCCTCTTGAGAAAATACAAATCACTTATGTTGTGAGAGAACTGGCCGTCTGCAAGGACGGTGCCTAGGGGATGCCCGGATGTGTTACCATCCTGTGGGAGGCTTCTCTCCTGTCCCTGCATGCGAAGCTGGAGCTGACAGACAGGAGCTCCCACTCCCCGGATTCAAACCGCCAACCTTTTGGTCAGCAGTCCTGCCAGCACAAAGGTTTAACCCAATACAGAGCTAATACACTGTGTTTTTAGAAAGGCCTTGATAGGAAGATGAAGAACACATATCCGTTGCACATGGATGCCTTGTATAGCTGCTATTCTACAAGGGGTTGGTTGATTTCCACTACTGCCCAGTCCAAGCTGCCCATTGGCATTGTAACCCCACACATAAACCTCCCCATTTTCCACCAGTTTTCCATGCCAAGGTGTTTCTTCCATTTTAAGGGGAAACCTGCATGTTTCTTATTTTTTTTCTTGCTGTAAGAAAAGAAGGAAGCTGCATGCACCATCCTCTAAAGCAGTGGTTCTCATGAGAACCACTGGTAAACTGGCTGGGATTTCTGGAGTTGTAGGCCAAAACACCTGGGGACCCACAAGTTGAGAACCACTGCTCTAAGGGTTCGAAAGCCTCCCCTTTCCCTGTGGAATAAGGAGTTGGATCTGGGTAAAGAGGAGTTGTTTTCGGAAAGTGGTGCATGAGCTTTCCCCAAAGTGGCAGCCTTCAAATGTGCAAGACTTCATCTCTTGTAAAACACGTATCATACTTGGGTTGGAGGGATTATGGGAATTCTAGTCAAATGCATCTGATCTGGAAATTGTAGATCAATATATCTGGAGTTTGCCAAGTTAAGGCAGACCAGTATAATCTCATATTAGACCCTATCATCTGCCCAATTGACATTCTTTCTTCAGCTTTGTTGGAGTCCCACTGTGGTGTATGAGTGTTCTTGCTTGGCGCTGGCTGTCACTCAGGGCTCAGCCAATACTTTGAGGATCTGGGTTGCTATGAGTTTTCCAGGCTGTATGGCCACATTCCAGAAGCATTCTCAGAGGTTGTGAGGACACCTGCCATAGATGTGGGTGAAACATCAGGAGAGAATTCTTCTGGAACATGGCCATACAGCTCACAGCAACCCAGTAATTCTGGCCATGAAAACCTTCGACAACACTTTGAGGATTAATATGGAGGAATACAGCCTTCAGTCTTATGACTTATGCCATTCCCAAAACATACTTTTCTTAGCCTCACAGCATCCTCTGTGGTATTACTCATAATTATTTCAGACTAAAATTGACACTGAAGCTTCAGAAAAATGCCCCTTTGTGTTCAGATTATAGATTGAACATCCTTTATCTGAAATGCTTGGGACCAGAAGTGTTGTAGATTTCAGATATTATTATTATCATCATCATCATCATCATCATCATCATCATCATCATCATCATCATCATCATCATTATCATTATTATTTTGAAATTATTATGATTATTTTGAAATTATTATTATTATTATTATTTTGAATATGGAGCCCCTGATGATGCAGTGGATTAAACTGATGAGCTGCTGAATTTACTCACCAAAAGGTTGGCAGTTTGAATCCGGGGAGTGGGGTGAGCTCCTACTGTTAACCCCAGCTTCCACCAACCTAGCAATTCGAAAACATGCAAATGTGAGTAGATCAATAGGCACCACTTCAGCAGTAAATTCAGCACACCATGCAATCATGCTGGCCATATGACCTTGGGTGCGTCTATGGACAACACTGGCTCTTCGGCTTAAAAATGGAGATGAGCACCAACCCCAGAGTCGGACACGACTGGACTTAATGTCGAAGGGAAAACCTTTACCTTTTCCTTTAAATGTATTCCTTATACACATAGTATGAAAGTGATTGTGTATGCAATCTTTTTAATTTTAATAATTTTGTGCATGAAACAAAGTTTGTGTGTACTGAACCAACAAAAAACAAAGGTTTCACAACCTCAACCACCACAATTTTGGTTTTTTGAATATTTCAGATTTTGGAATTCCAGAAATTCCAGACTGTATGTGTCTCAGATTAACTGACCTTGTTCTTTAGAGTTCAGTATTCTGAGAGGTGTCTATGATATGTCACTTTGAACAAGTCTAACACTTTATCTGATATTTTCTGGGTGCAGCTTCTGATGACATTTGAATGTGTGGGGTGGTGGGATTTTTCCCAGGAGAATGAGCATTTGGTAGTACTGTATTCTTTTGTTCTGCTGTCTCTTTAGGTTCCCCCTTTATGTAGAAGATGCATCAAGGGGCTGTTATGCCTTGCCTCCTTGCTTGCTTTTTTCTGCTTGCCCAAGCATTGACGGTCAAACCAAAAGAAAAGGCAGATCCTGAAATGCAGAGAGACATGACAGCCTTTTTGCAGATAGTTAATCAGAACATTTGGGAAGAAAACATCAACTTGACCACTTTGTCCTGTGAGGATATGAAGACACAGCTGTGGACCACCTTGAGGCTCAAAAATGAAGGCCTAACTAATTTCCCTGCCTGTCTACCTGAACATTTGGAGCATCTGGATCTGAGCATCAATCTTTTGCCTGAATTCCACAGCCGGGATGTGGCTTACCTGCCCATGTTGCAGGTCCTGTATCTGAGGCAGAATGGCATTCAACAAGTGGTGTGGGAGGCTGGGAGCCTCAGCAACCTCCACTTCCTGGACCTGAGCTTCAACCAGTTGTCCTCGCTGCCAGAATGTAATTCCTTCACTATGGAAAATCTCAAATGGCTCTCTCTGGCTGGGAACCCTATTGCAGAAATCAAACCCTTTGCTTTCTCCTGCTATCCTCAGTTGAATTTCGTAAACCTGTCTTCCACTTGGCTGGGAAAGGATGGCCAACAAGGAATCGGAGAATCTGCCTTTGCAATCCGCTTATTGCATGTTGGAGACTCCAACAGTAAAGCTGAAAGTGCTATCAATGTGCTGGACCTCAGCATGACGTTTTTGGAGAGAAGTAAGTGCTAAAGTTATTGAGGACTTGGCCTGTAAGAATTACTGTATTACCAAGAGAAATAAGGTTGCAGAAGAAAAGGGTAACACTAGCACTGCATCTGATTTGCAAACACTGATGTCTCCTCCACATTATAGCATGTTGATATCACATTTCATACCATGGCTGCATCATACAGAATCATGAAATTTATAATTTCAGGAAGTACAGCCAGTCTTTCACATTCACTAACATTAGGCACAGGTTTCCTGCAAAAGTGTGTGTGTGTGGGGGGGGGGGGGGGATGTTCAAAGCTGTTTTTGGCGCAGATGCATCTCTAAGGAAAAATAAATACAAAAACTACAGATTGCAAATCACAATTTCTATATTACAGGAAATTCTTTATTAAACGTAACGTGGGAACATTAAAATGATTAATTAGTAACTGTTTATAAATGAAAGATTGCTTATCAATATTTTGCCAACACAATGAAATTTAAACTTCCAAAATAACAATTACTATATACCAGGAGATTCTTCATAAGTACACGACATCAGAAATAGTAACTCAAATATTGTTAAATGTAATATAATGAGATTTCAGCTTCCAAAATAACAATTTCTATGTTGTAGAAGGTTCTTCACCAATATATAACATCAGGAACAGTAACACAACAAGGTCTGCCTGGGATAGTGCAAAACAGTTTAGCATATATAAGGCCAAGGAACTGGAAGAAGTGCAGAGAACACAGCACACAACCCTTGGCAATACTAATACAACAATACTGTACACATCGATTCAGAGTTAGCTCCATTGGTCTCAGCATGGCTTTCTCCCAATTAAGTTCATATAGAAATATAACCCAAATCTTTTACAACAACAATGGTTATGGTTATTAATCAAAACCTCTGTAAGTATTCCAACAGTACAAACCTACACATGTCTACTAAAGCTGCTACACTTATTTTGGAACCTGCGACAGAAAGGTCAAAAGTACCTTTCCTTATAGATGGCAGCAAAACGACAGTGAATAAATAACAATTTGCTCTCCTTTAATGTCACCCCAAATATCTACTGCCTTAAACTGACAGCTGTACTCAACAGTAAAAAGGTTGGCCCTGTTTAATATTCAGTTTTCTTAATCAGTTTTTTTTCCAGGGTTCTTCTAATTCATTCTGACACATCTAGAAATGAAGCTAATAAAATAGAAAATATTCAAGTTGTCTATGATCAAAATGTTGCTGTTTTTGTGTGCCTTCACGATATTTCTAACAGTCGTAAGGCATCCCTATCATGAGGATGTCTTGACAAGATTTGTTCAGAGGGGACAGGGAAAGTGTCTCCCACTGAATTTCCATGACCAAGCAAGAGTTCAAAACCTGATAATCAGAATCTTAGTCCAACACTCAAATCATCATACCACACCACCAGATATTACTTCTATGTCCCCTGCCCTTTCTTAACTCTTGGAGGACAAAGTTGCATGTATCCCATAGACTATCCTGCACTTGCTAAGCTAACCATCCAGAAAGGAGAGAAATGAGGTCTAAGTACCAGTGCTGGCATAAGATTAAGATAGCTGTCCAGACAGCTTCTCTACATGGGTAAGAGAGGGGAACCATCTTGTCCAGTGCCATAGGTCTAAAACTGCTTGGGCCAAGCCTAGTCAATATTATCTAAAGTTTCCATTGCCTAACAGGATTGCCTGTTAATCTGTCATTCTCTTTCCTAGTTCAGGAGGACTGGATCAAAGATCTACCTAGACTCTCTTCCCTCTATCTAACAAATATGAGGAGGCTGAGAAGCCTTGAGGCCACTATTTTCCAACACGTGCTGCATCTGAAAGAACTGGACTGTCAAAACTCTCCTGCACTAAGTTTGGTGGAAACAGAATCTTTTAGACATACACCTCACCTGGCTTTCCTCCTGCTCCAAAAGTAAGTGTCCCTGCATGCTATCAAGGCTACAGTTAAATCAAAGAGCTCTGCCTAAAGTAGTGCCCACACCTCTTCCTTGCTATGCATGAGTGGATATTTAAAGGGTTGTTATTTGAATTAGGGCTGCAATGTCTGAGATATTATTGTGACACCCAATGTATTGGTTCTTTAAAGGTGGGATGCTGTGGATATAGCATATCTTGATTTCAGTAAGGCCTTTGACAAGATTCCTGTGATCTTCTTGCAAACAAATTAGTAAAATGTGTGCTAGGCAATGCTACTGTTAGGTGAATCTGCCATTGGTTAAGCAACTGAACCCAAAGGGTACTCACCAATGGTTCCTCTTCATCCTGAAAAGAAGTAACTAGTGGACTGCCACAGGGTTCGGTCCTGGGTCAAGTACTGTACAACCTCTTTTTTAATTACTTGGATGAAGGGTTAGAAGGTGTGATCATTAAGTTTGCAGAAGACACCAATTTAGGGGGGATAGATAAAACTCCAGAGGACAAGATCAGAATTCAAAATGACCTCAACAGACTAGAGGGCTGGGCCAAAACTAACAAAATGAATATCAATAAAGAAAAATGTAGAATTAGGCAGGAAAAACAAAACAAAACACAGTGACAGGATGATTGATACCTGGCTCAACAACGGTCCATGTGAAAAATATCTTGAAGTCTGCATGGACAAGTTGAACATGAGCCAACTGTGTGATGCAGCAGCTAAAAAGCCAACAGGATTTTGGGCTGCCTCAAAAGGGATATACTGTCTAGATCGAGGGAAGTCATAGTGGCTTTCTATTCTGCTTTGATTAAACTCACCTGGGATGGAATCATAGAATTATAGAATGATGGAGTTGGAAGAGACCTTGTGGACCATCCAGTCCATCCCTCTTCCAAGAAGCAGGAAAACTGTATTCAAAGCACCCCTAACAGATGCTTTGTCAAATTGGATGCTGTGTCCAATTCCGGCACCACAATTTAAAGGATATATTGATAAGCTGGAAAGTGTCCAGAGGAGGGTAACTAAAATTATCAAAGGTCTGGAGACCATGAATCCCTCTGAGGAGCAACTTAAAGACCTAGGGATGTTTAGTCTGCAGAAGAGAAAGTTGATGGGAGACATGATAGCCATGTATAAATATGTAAAAGGGTGTCATAAGGAAGAGAGAACAGGCTTGTTTTCTGCTGCCCTGGAGACTAGCTGCCTCATCACATTCTTCTTGAGCAAACAAAATTCTGGGAAATTTAGTATGGGACGATGGGAACATCTGTAACAGATAATTCAAAAGGCCTCATCCAAAACTATATTCCCCAGAATTCTGCTCTCTTCAAAGACTGGAGCTGCCCACATTAAAGCCCCAATGTGATGATGCTGCTGGACTCAGAGTAATGGGTTCAATGACAGGTTCCACCTGAACATTAGGAAGAACTTCCTGACTGTGAGAGCTGTTCAGCAGTGGAACTCTGTGCCTTGGAGTGTGGTGGAAGTTCCTTCCTTGGAGGCTTTTAAAAAGTCGCTGGATTGCCATCTGTCAAAGGTATTTTGATTGGTTTATTGAGACAGGGGAGGCAGATTTTATATTTTTGGAGTCTAGAACATTGCTTCTTAAACTGTGGGTCCTGACCCCAAATGTTCGATGTTAGGGTCCCAAAACATTTTTTTCCTGAATGTCACCTAGTGGCTGTTTTTGAAATTTACATGAATTTCTTGCACAGTGTGTTTACAGTAGACTTACTACCGCTGTACTCCACAAAAAGGAAAATCAGCCTGTTTAACAAGCCTTGCGAATGCTGATTTATTATCAGTAAATGTTTACTTTTTATACATCTTTTATATACCTACCTAACTGGCATCACGTAAACATTTTTTGGAACCCTGAGTGGGAAAGTTTAAGAAGCCCTGTTCTAGAGCATGAATGGAAGATCTGCAGACTTTTTCAAAAATTATATATATGTCAACACCCCAACAGACAAGAGACAAAACTCCATTCTTTGATATAGAGGATTTTCTAATTTTCATATATTTGTTGACCTTTGTTTGTTTGTTTTATCATAGTTGTAACTTGAGTTCTTTGCATGAGTGGGACCTTAGCTCATCAAGCAACCTTGTGATTAACCTCTATGGAAACCCTTTGACCTGCCATTGTGAGATTTCCTGGCTAATTGCCAGGCGAGACAAAATAGTTCTGCAGAGGTAAGATGTATTACAAGCACAGTTCCACTGGCTTTATGATTTCTCAAATATTGACACAGAAGATTAGTCTTTGAACTTTATAAACTCACTAGCGTATGTACCCGGTGTTGCCTTGGTGCTGGAGGGGCGACTGCCCCCCTGCATTCATCTCTTCTTTCTCTTTCCCTGCAATCATACCTTTTCCCCTTTCCTTTCTCTTCCTTTTCTCCTTCCTTCCCTCTTTTTTGCTTTCTTCCCCATTCCATTCTTCTTTCTCTTCTCTTCGTTGCTTCCCCTCCTCTTTCTCCCTTCTCCAGTTCTGAGAGGGCCTATCTCAAAATCTCTTTATGGAAACATGGCTCCCTTTATGGCTCTTTCCTTCCTTCCCCTCTTCCCCTCATACACATGTCTCCTTTCTTTTGCAGTAATATCTCAGAGGGCCACTTTGCCTAGCAATAGTCAATCTTTCACCTAGTAACAAAGGGCCACTGGATTGTCACTTCGCAACAGCCTTTGTGGGACAGACAAATCAGCTTTGAGTTTTACGTATATAGATGTCAAATGATTCTTATTTATCAGGCTTCTGTGAAGTTTACAACCTGCTTTTCAAACATGTTCCACATGATATCAGTCCATTTGGTCATAACACATCTTTTACCTTGGTCTCTTCCATGTATCATAGGGAATCGGAAACTGTGTGCTACACAGCAGCAGAAACCAAATCAGCATCCTTATCTGAATCTAAACCGCTGGCTAACTTGTATGAGGACTGTCAAGAGAAAGAGACTGCCCATTCTACTCCACTGTCTACTCAAGGCAACACTTACAGCACATCTCTCACCATCACCTTAGACACATTGCAAGATACCAGTGCATTGCCCCATGAATGGCACAGCCTTTCTTTTGCCCCAGAGAGCACTCCTGTGAGCCGTGGGGACACATCTCATGTGACTTTGGAAGATACAGCAAAGCAGGGTTCAACAAAGACAGACGTTCTTGCCTACAAAGAGGAAATTATCCATGGATCTACAGACATGTCACTCATCGTAACAGCTCCTGCCACAACTTCATCAGCAAAACTGGGACAACACACCACTGAGCAAAGCTTAGTAGACACAGTTGAGATAGGTAAAAGGAAACAGGATGCCACAATGGTTAATTCTATTGTCCAGTTGGAAGGAACACAGCGCCACATTGTTCTTCAGAGTCCAACAACAGAACCCACAGAACAGGAAGGTTTATTTTCTCCTTATAGTACAGCACCCTCAGATCAAACCATGCCACCATGGCAAATTCCCACCAAGACAAGCGCCCAGCCAAATCTTGCCATTATTGACAATACAAATTATTATGCGGATGACTATGATTATGAAAAAGAAAGGAAAGAATATGTGACAAATACACTTGGGCCTTGTGACTATGATCCTTGCAGGCACCTCCAGAAACCTTGCATTGAACTCCAAGAATTGTCTCCTTGCCTGTGCCCAGGCATATCTGATGAATTCACCATCCCAGATCCACCAAGGCTCTGGGACGTAACCGAAATCAGGGACACCTCTGTGGAGATCCACTGGTGTGCTCCATATTCATCAGTAAGATTCTACCAGCTCGCCTATCGTCTTCAAGGCAGTACGAAGAATCACACCATTTCTGGAGAGATTTATACAACAGCCAGGCAGTATACCCTTTATAACCTCCTGCCGGCCTCAACCTATCGGGTATGTATCATTGCTTCGAACAAAGCCGGCCCAAGTACAACAACAGACGGAAATGGTCAGAGTGCTCCTTGCGGTACCTTTTCGACCAAGTCCAGCTACAAATCTGTCTTTGCTGCCTTGGGTGTAACAAGCGGAGTCTTTCTCCTTGCCACCATAATGTTGTCTGTGTGTCTCTATAGGAAATGGAGAGCTCCCCGCCTTGAGCAATATAACATGAATTTAGTCTCATATAAAAATCCTGCTTTTGATTACTCCTTAAAATAAGAAAGACAGAGAGGATGTTATGAACTTGTCACAAAGAGATAGTCTTCTCACTGTTCTCATCCTCCCACCGCTCCGCCCCCCCCCCCCCAAAAAAAAACACAAGTAGAGGAGTTTAAAGGACAGAATGCAATAAGTTTTATTTTAGGAAAATAACTGATTCATCCAGGTTGTTTTGGAAGGGTCATTCCAAACCAACCCCACTTTGATGCCTGTCACCTAAGACTCTCCAAAACCAGTTGTGGATGTCTGTAACCAGTAGGAAATTGTCACCTTTCACTGAGAAACACAAGCAGTAAATGTATTGTCGAAGGCTTTCATGGCCAAAATCACTGGGTTGTTGTAGGTTTTTCCGCTCTATATGGCCATGTTCTAGAGGCATTTTCTCCTGACGTTTCGCCTGCATCTATGGCCACATAAAAGGCACTCCAGACTACTTCAACTAGAGAAGCTAGCCATAGCAGAGCACCTGATGAACTAACCTGGACACAGCATATTATTTGAGAACGCAGAAATGCTGGACCACTCTCACAACTACCATGTCAGACTACACAGAAAAGCCACTGAAATCCACAAGCATGTGGACAATTTCAACAGAAAGGAAGAAACCATGAAAATGAACAAAATCTGGCTACCAATATTAAAAAACTCTAAAATTACAACAGCACAAACAACAGAGAGTAAACAATCAGGCACATCTAATCACATCTCAACAAAAGATTCCCCCAGGTACTGCCAAGCCATCAAATGCTAATTAAGGTGGTCAGTTGAAACATTCACACCTAGCTCCAGCAGACAAGAGTCCTTTGTCCCACCCTGGTCATTCCACAGATATATAAACCCTTTTTTCCTAGTTCCAACAGACCTCACTACCTCTGAGGATGCTTGCCATAGATGCAGGCAAAACGTCAGGTGAAAATGCCTCTAGAACATGGCCATATAGCCCAGAAAAACCTACAACAACCCAGTAAATGTATTGTCGAAGGCTTGTAGGTTTTTCGGGCTGTATGGCTATGTTCAAGAAGCATTCTGTCCTGACGTTTCACCTGCATCTATGGCAGGCATCCTCAGAGTTTGTGAGGTCTAATAAACAGGCCTCACAACCTCTGAGGATGCTTGCCATAGATGCAGGCGAAATGTCAGGAGAGAATACTTCTAGAACATAGCCATACAGCCTGAAAAACCTACAATAACACAAGCAGTAAAATATCTTAATGCTAAGTTCTGACTTGATGCTTTTACTTCAAACTAGCTCTCTTGGTCATCATCAGCTCTAAACCAAATCCAAGTCCTCATTTACTAATCAGACTACTTTGCCATTGGGATTGGGATCCGAAGAGTTAGATGCACTTGGAGGTTTGAGTATGAGCAACAGCAGGTCATTCATTCTTTGGGCAATACCATCATCAAAAACCATTCCTGAAAGTCTAGAGTCAATGTCATCTGAAATCATACAGGAGGACCTAGAGCTTCCTAGAGGGACAATAATAATTAAATTGATCAATAATCACATGGATAAGTGAAACTATTTTATTGATCAGCCAATTGGCCTTATCAAAACAGACAATATAAACACAACATATAGTATACCTCTAGTCCGAGTAAAATTATAAATATATAAGTACAGAGAGAGAAAGTGGGGATGGCCAACTTGAAATTGAATGTACCTTAATCTTGGGTGTATTATCTGTAAATGTGGGAGGCTGTGCATCCCTCCCCCTCCAGTTTCCAAATAAGGACTACTATACAGGCAAAACATATCTACCCTGTACATATACACACAGGAATAAATCCTACTATTTTCATTGGTACCTATTTCCAGGTAAGTGTGTATAAGGTATGGCAACTTAACGCATCAAAACCTGAACATCCTGATTGGAAAGCACATGCCAATGAACTTCAAGATTTTTAATTTTTTTTAAAACCTACTATCTATTAAGAAGTAAGAATGACTTGCACCACAATCCTCGTTTGAGAGCAAAATATTTTACACAACTACCTTTTTTTTTGCAGTTTGGTTTTAATGTCAATTGGAAAGAAAATGAAGGGACATATTTTAAAAAAATTATAGCATTTCTGAATCAAAAGCTGTTGCCCTGAATTCTTCCCAGTTTGCACTGCGATATTATGAGCTGAACTTTTCAATTTGCTCACTGCACAAAGTAGATATACACATAAAATATTGTGACTGGTTAGAACTGTGTCATGCTTAGTGTTCGTGTGAACCTTGGTGTCTCCTATTAAATGCATCCTGTACTATATTAAAGAACTACTTTTATAATAATGGTTTAGAAATGTGGGGCTATTTCAGTCTTGTGAAATTTCCTCAAAACATGGCAAAATGAGAAAGAACAGGTATATGTATGTGTGTATGTGAGTGTGTGTGTGGATATATTTGGTATATGTGTGCATGTGTGTGCACATGTGTGCACATGTATATATACCTCATGTATATGAGGTATATATACTTGAAGTCCAGTTGTGTCTGGCTCTGGTGGTTGGTGCTCATCTCCATTTATAAGCCAAAGAGTTGGCGTTATCCATAAACACCTCCAAGGTCATGTGCCTGGCATGATTGCATAGAGTGCTGCAGGCCCGTAGCCAGGATTTCAATTCGGGGGGGGGGGGAGTGAGTTTGATTTGGGGAGGGGGCTAAGGATCTACCCTAGCAAACCTTTTGTATTGTTATCCCATTACCCCCATGCAAATGGAATATATTGAGCGTGGTGATCAGATCACGATATGAATAAACATAACAGTTTAAATAACGTACCAGTCCCCGCTCCCCTGGCTACATGCCTGGAGTGCTGTTACCTTCCCGCTGGAGTGGTACCTATTGATCTACTCACATTTGCATGTTTTCAAACTGCTAGGTTGGCAGAAGCTGGGGCTAACAGTGGGAGCTCACCCCAATCCCCCGGATATGAACCTGTGACCTTTTGGTCAGCAAGTTGAGCAGCTCAGGTATATAAATGTTGTAAGCACACTGAGACACAATGGGGTAAACAGGAATTCTGTGGCCGAAAATTCAAAAGGCCCCATTCTAATTCTCACTTCAGAATACTGGGGTTGACCTCATTAAGGCCTCAATGTGATGGTCTCTGCCTGTCTCTTTCTGGGCCAGGTGGCCGGCCATGCACCAGAGGGGCTTCTTCCTTGCCCAGCCACGCAGCCAGGAATCCCTTCTTTCCTCTCTCTCCCCTCTCTGCCCCCTTTGAGAAAAGAGCAAGGCTTCTCCCTCCACTCTGGCCTCGCCATCTTCCTCGGGGCTCTTTGTGGGAAGCAAGCCCAGCCCCTTTGAGGGAGAAGTGATGCCCACAATGGAGATTTGGAACCACTTGCCAGAGTTGCTTAACTCATCCCAAAGTCATATGTCAGTTGGATTTCTGTTCCTTCATCTGCCTTTCAACTGACAAGGAACAATTTGTCTTGTTTGGAATCAAGTTCCTTTTAGTTGTGAAGGTTAACTCTTTTCACCCTTTGTCATCAGTATGTCTAAGGTAGTGGTTCTCAACCTGGGATCCCCAGATGTTTTTGGCCTTCAACTCCCAGAAATCCTAACAGCTGGTAAAGTGGCTGGGATTTCTGGGAGTTGTAAGCCAAAAACATCTGGGGACCCAAGGTTGAGAACCACTGGTCTAAGGCCATGTCTACATGGCCAAAATATAGTTGACTCGCCATTCAGCTGCTGTGGAGAGTTCACATAGCTGGATCCATAGCAGAACTTCTGCATCCAACCATTAACATGGGTCAAGAGAACATGGAGATTCCTGGAAGCTCCAGCGTGATCCCAGAGTTTTGGAGACATGAACATCAGGATCTAGTCTGATCTACTGTCCACAGTTTCAATAGGCCCACTTCTGCATCGCTGTCATCAAGCAGTTCCCTCCCAGAAGCTTCCTGGGAACATCACCTTTTTGGTGATGGATGTCACTAGAAATGTAACATCACAAGCTTGCCTCTGGGAGGGTACTGCTTGTTGGCACTGACACAGTGGTGATGTTGGCAGCCCTGGTGTGCCCTTGACCTAATTAGCAGTGTGGATGCCAAATGGTTCTTAGAATGCTCCCTGGCTACATCGGAGCACTTCCAGAACAAATTAATGACAAACGAATATAGCTTCAATCTAGGGAAACACTTTGGGGAAAAAATGCTTTGCTTCCTTGCACTGAAAATGAAACTGACATTGGGAGGCTTCCGAAGTTTATAAAATTCAAACGGAAAAGTATTGGGTAAGTATTGATTCTCAAGTTTTAGGTGCGGGCCATGCCCACATGTCGGATATCACATTGTAAGTACAACTTTAACAAATTTGATCCAACTTACGAGGGCTAATGATAACTTGCATAACCCTAGTATATAGCCTTGTCACTTAGAGTAGACCTTAATTGATCACATCATATTAAAAGTCTGGTTTTAAAGTACCTAAAAATGGTGATGCCATGCTGCCATCACAACTTCCAATAACTGTATTGTGGGGTGGCTGAAAGTGAATGCTTCACAAGATCAACATTGTTATTGGCAAATGCCTTGCTTCTAGTAGTGATGATTTCATCGACTTCAAAAGGAGGAGAAAACAGGGGCATCCTGAAATGGTTGAACTACATAAAAAGATAAAGCTATCACTCCATTACGGCTATGGTTTAAATGAGCACAAGCACACTGAGTGTTGAGAGTGAGTGAAGAGAGAGTAGAGGAAAGGTCCAGCTAGAATGTCACAAACCATGATGTCATAGGGATGCTGTGTTGAAGATTCTATTCTGTATCCACCTGTGGCCAGGCTGAGACGAGTGGCAGGAGTTGGTGGTAAGACTTGCGGAAGGAAATATTGTATTAAATACCAGCCAGGCAGCACCACGGTCCACGAAGACTCTAGTTTCTTAAAGATTCATTTCACAGGTTTAAAGGAAAGAGCGAAAAGGTAATGAAACACAGTCCAGCATCAAAACACCATTGATTGTTAGTAATGTTGCTTGTTTACTTCTTGGGCACGTTTTATGTACTGTTAACTCTGCAGTTTTATACACATGTATCCAATTGAGTTCAATGATATTTATTCCTGAGTTGG